ATTATTATTATTATTATTATTATTATTATTATTATTATTATTATTATTATTATTATTATTATTATTATTATTATTCTATTGATAAAAAATAAGTTAAAATTTACGTGAATTATTTTTTTCTTTTTTTTTAAAAAAAAAAAAAATTTAGGAAGCTTGCCCCGTTGATGCAATTGTTGAAGGACCTAATTTTGAGTTTGCAACGGAAACACATGAAGAATTATTATATAATAAAGAAAAACTTCTTGCTAATGGTGATAAATGGGAACCCGAGATTTCAAAAAACTTGGAAGCAAATTCTTATTATGTTTAATTACTGTATTAAATCCTTTTTTATTTAAATAAATTATTATTATTATGTAATATAACTTTTAATTATTGTTAATTCATAAAAAAAAAAAAACACGAAATTTGTGAAAATTCTACCAATCATATGATATAATTTCCATTTTTGGACATGCTGTCATCATGTTGTCACGAGTGCTGTCAATTCTGTCACGCTTTATGTCACATTTATCATATATCGCAAACACGCCGTGTCTTTCATTCACCAAAAACCACGAATTACAGATGTCTACAGAAACGCAAACCTCTCTTCCAGTGTCGGAACCAGATCCTGCCTCACAAATATATAAAGCTACTTACTCTGGTGTTCCCGTTTGGGAATTTCGGTTAGTTGTGGGTGTTCACTATCATTTTTTTTAAAAAAAAAGTGCAATTTATATGCGTGCAAAATTTTAACACTTTAATCTTAGGGTTCGAAGTGTAGCTGTTATGCGCAGAAAAACGGATTCCTGGCTCAATGCAACACAAATCTTAAAAGTAGCTGAATTCGATAAACCACATAGAACTAGAATCTTGGAACGGGAAGTCCAAAAAGGTGAACATGAAAAAGTTCAAGGAGGCTATGGAAAATATCAAGGTTTGTAAATATGACTCTCTTATAATTAGAAATACGGCTTGATTAATTTATATTCTATTTCTAATTAAACAGGAACTTGGGTACCATATCAAACAGGTGTCGATTTAGCAGAAAGATATCATGTTAAAGAACTTTTACAACCGATAATTGAATTTGAACCATCTTCAGAAAGTCCTCCTCTTGCACCTAAACATGTAACAGCTGCGTCTAATAAACCACGTAAGCCACGTGAACCTAAAGAACCTAAAGCGATAAAGCCTAGAATATCCAAAAAAGCCAAGAAAACCGAACCACAAACTGAAGAAATAATGTCCATAGATACAGATCACGAAACTAATGATATAGTTAGTATTGCGTCCTCTAACGTGTCTATCTCACCAATTTCTTCGTTGTCTGCTTCCCCTGCGCCAATAGAATCATCAAATGAAATATCAGATTCTGATGGTACAACTACAGTTACAACAGTACAAAAATCGAAAAGAAAGCGCAAACAAAATGATTCCGGTGGACGTGGGCATAGAGATTCGAAAATGACTCCGGCTCAGTCTAATGTTCCAGAGTATGGAAATCTTATGTTAACTTATTTTACAACTAATGCCGATTCCATTCCAGATTTCATTTTACATCCGCCAGCTGACTTTGATCCAAATATAATAATTGATCAACAAGGACATACATCATTACACTGGGCTGCTGCTATGGCGAATTCTGATATGGCTGCTTTGTTAATTAATGCTGGAGCTGATCCTGATCGAGGAAATATACATGGAGAAACAGCTCTTATGAGAAGTGTCATGTTTCCATATAATTATGAAAATAGAAGTTTTTCTGATATGGTAGAACTATTACTTAGAACTATTGGTAATCTTGATATTCATGATCAGACGGTTTTGCATCATGTAGCAATATACGCTACTACTAAAGGAAGAGTTAGCCCTTCTAAATATTATATGGAGGTGCTTCTTTCGCGTTTGGCACAACATCCTAATGAAGAATATAGAAGAGTTATTATCAATAAACAGAATGATGATGGAGACACCGCTCTTAATATATCTGCCCGATCTGCAAACAAAAGACTCGTGAAATTATTACTTGACGCTGGAGGAAATCCTCAAATTCGAAATTTACAAGGAAAAAACGCAGAGGATTATATTTTGGAATTAGATAATCAACGTGTGGATCAAAATCAGTTTCAAAATCAACAACTTAATATTGGAATAGATAATCAAGGAAATAGTGCAACTTCTAATGCAGTAATTGCATCGGTAATTCCAAATCGAGCAGAATTTTTGATTCAAGATGTTACCGAAATATTACAAAGGTTTAAGAGCTCCTACGAAGTTCAAATACAAGCTAAAGACAAAGAGTTATCAATGATTCAAGAACAATTAACACCTAGTAAAGATGAACTCGAAAAAACAAATAATTCTATTGAAATTTCAAGAGAAAAAAGTAGGGTTTTATCATCGCGTAAAGAACGCCTAAATCATCTAATTACGCAACTGACTGAAAAAATAGAGAATCGGAGAAACCGAAGATTAGAAACTCTTAAGGCAGAAGAATTGAAAAAAAATGTACAAGTGACGGAGACAAGTCAGGAGAAGTAAATATTTAATTATTATTATTTTTTGTCGTGTTTTCCAATTATTTTATTATTTTATCAATACTAAAACTTATTAATATATATCATAGGATTAAAGAGTTTAAACAAAAGTTAAGTGAAGCTAAGACGGAAAGGAGTCAACTACTTAATCTATTGATTGAATTAAAGAAAGCTCCCGACGCTAAAGTCTCCGCTTATAAACGAGTCCTTGACGTGCTATGTGAACGACAAGGAAATCCACCATCACAATATCCATCAAGCGTTACAACAACAAACATGATGATAGAAAGCAATAATACCAACTTATAATTTTATTTTTATTTTTATTTTTCATATAAAAGGTAAATTTTGGTATTTTTGCAATCCTATTCAGTTTATATCTTTATTTTATTATTTTATTTTTCCCTCGGTAGATTTGTAGCGGTTTCTTTAAGAATGACGAAAACAATTTTGAACTATAGAGACTTTAAAATGTTTTTATTATTCAAATAAAATAGTTTTTCCATGTTGAACTATCAAATTTGAAATAGAATTTTTTTTTCTTTGAAACTTCGTTTGTATAATATAAACGCGTTATTGTATCAATAAATATCGGCAATCGTGTTTAAAAAAAAAAAAATAAATAAATAATTTACATTTTTTATTAATTAACATTAATTTGAGATTTCACAAATTAAATTAAATATTTAATAACGATAAATGAATTGAATTTTCATCAAATTTCAAAATATGCTTCATCACGCAGGTGCACCATAGGCCTCAGGTAATCTTTCAATTGTATATTTTCTCTTTGAAATATACATTATTGGGATACCTGGTATTTTTCGTATGCGACGTTTTAAATCTCTATCACAAGTTGCTACAATATAACATTTATGCTAATTCAAATAAATAATCGAAATATTTTTAGATGGAAAATAATAAAAGAAATAATAAAAATGAAATAAAATAAATAATTAATTAATTATAAATCTACCTGCATCACTCTTTGAACCAAACAATCATCAGCGTAAGTTCCTTTATGAGTACATGGTAATCTTTCAAATCTAGGATCTCGAGCGATTCTAATTAAATTAAGATTTAATTAATAATTCCATACATTATTAAAAGATGTAATTCAGCGTCAAACATTTTCTTTAAAAAGTCTATAAAAAAAATCTCACCGGAGAGCTATCCTATATTTTGGACCCAATTTTTCTAATTCTGCCATAACGCAGTCAGTGATACATGGAATACCTAACAATAATAATAATTATAAATATAACAAATCATTCTCATTATCTCAACTTTCGTTTTTTTTTAAAAAAAATAATAGTTAACTTTCTCACTTTTAGCGTAAAGACAATCCATCATGGCTTGAACAAGTTCCAGTTTATTTTGAATCGAAAAATTAATAAAATTCGTGTCAACCAAAACATGATAGGGTGGTCCTAAAGCTGTATTATAACGAAAGAATAATGACGAAGCTACTTGTGGTCTAAAATAGGATAGATCTTAATTAATGTTTAAAATCAAATATATATATATATACCAAAAAATTAATATTAAAAAAAAAAAATACATACACATTTCGTACTTCACTCTTTCTCTTTTGTTCTTCCTTCCTTTTTTGTTTTTCTTGCACTGACTTTCTATTTATTTTGGTGGAATTATTAAATAAAATCTATAGGTCAACATGACGCGTTTCCTTCTCGCAATTGAATGACATTACTTACAATCTTGAATCCTTGGGATTCAATAATCGTTTGGCTTCAGCAAATTTTCTAGTCCTTTTCGCTTTTCCCTATCATAAGATCAAGATCAACGATTCGTTAATTATTATAGTCTAAATTCTAATATCCTATATTACGCAGTATTTACCATTTTTTTGCTACAGTGGAAATCATCAACCCCCTGAGAATTTTTACAGGTAATAAAAATAATGACGTAAGCGCAAAAACAGCCAATCATATTTCAATTTAATACCTAAATCTAATGATCTTCATTACTGTGCCTTACTGTGCACTACTATTTCTTCATATTATTTACTAAATATATTTACTACTAATTGATAATAGATTTTGATAATTATTATTAAATAATAATAGAGTGATGCTAATTTTCACTGGGGGGAAATTTCACCGTAGGCAGAATTACATAATTCCTGGTCAATCCCCTAACCCTATCAACATTAACTTAATTCTACTTACCAGTTAATTTTCTCTCCAGTTAAAAGTTTTTTTCATAATAATATATGATAATAATTAATATTATGAATTAATAATTGTGTTTGTGTAACTAAAATCTCGTGATCTCGTGCTACTATTTCGTGACTAATTAATATGTATTATTGGATATAAATATTAGTTGAAAAATTATTAAAATATTATTTATTTGTTAACTGAATTAATATTTCGAAGGTTTTCACTAATCTTCAAAAGTTATTGATTTTGATATTTTCACATAACAAAATTTTGCAAATATTATCATTTTCATAGTAAATTCATATCAATAACTTTTGAAGATTATCAATTTTGATATTTTCATGTATAAAATTTTACGAATATTATTGTTTTCGTAATAAATTTGTATTGATAATTTCAGAAGGTTATCAATTTTGATATCTTCATATACAAAATTTTACAAATATTATCATTTTCATAATAATTTTGTATCAATAACCTTTGTTTATATTAGATATTTATAATATATTATTTTGATAGTTATCACTTATATTTATATCACTAAGATTTTCAATTGACATTACACAATCAACAATATTTTTCGAAGTTTATCGTAACAATTTTAATTAATATTGTATTGTTAAAAATGTCTTTCGAAATTTATTGCAGTAATTTTAATTAACATTGCATTGTTAATGATATTCTTTGAAATTTATCATAACAATTTTAATTGAAATTGTACTGTCAATGATATCCTTCAGAAGTTTATCGCAACAATTTTAATTGACATTATACTATTAACAATATCCTTTGAAGTTTATCATAATAAAATTGTATTGTTAATAATATCTTTTAAAATTTATTGTAACAATTAAAATTAGTATTTATGTTCACTGAATATAATTATATTATTGTTATAATTTTATTAGATATTATATTGATCCAAAGTTTAT